AAAAAAGTAGTGGAGCTATAAAGTTCAACCTGCAGTGTCCTGCTTCTTACTACTCCCATTTGAGCCCAAATTTTCCTCCAGAATCAGAGGCAGTTGTTTTGAAATCTGGTCTCTCTTATGATAAAGGAACACTTAAAAAAAAAAAAACAACAACAAAAAAAAAACTCTTTACCTGAGATTACATGCTGTGATATATGATTGTGTCATCTCTGCCTTCAATTCAACAAGCTACCACAAATTGCACAAATATCAACACATGCTATTTGATCATAAGCCACAAAATTTTCAATTCTTTCAAGTTTTCAATCAAGACTGAAGATTTATGAGCACGGCATGCATAAAGCCTGCACTCTGATTCAGTCAAAACTAATTAGACCTTTCACACAGCCTTTCTGTACTCTTGTGTATACAGCACCTGTACGGAAACATTTGTCTCCTTGACAGAGTGAGGAGGTCACAGAAAACAAATGTTTCTCAGGGTTCTTCAATAGGCTGCACCACAATGATTTGGAATAAAAGAGAAAATACTGAAATCTCTTCAGACAGGTGTTCCAGCAGCCTTGGCAGAGGGGTATCATGTCAGAAAAGAAGTCCACCAGTACGTTTAGTTTTGCAATAACTAAGACATACCAGAGCTTTCAAATAAAAGGTAATCTTCTCTTTAAAAACGAGAAACACTCCCTCTTGGATTATCATGAACATCCCACACTGCCAACTATTACTTCCCTATCTGCTACTGGATCTTCATAGGAGTATTCAGTCCATGTTAGAAGCTTCAGCTGAAGGATCATTACTCGACCCTAGGAAGGAGGGAGTGTATCTTCTCTGAGAATGTCTGAGGTCCACATGGGGACCTACCGTTCCTCAATACCTTGCCCCTGGAGAGAACAGCATGAGGAAAGTACTAAAAAATAGGTAAAATTATTTCATTTTCTTCCTCTTTCTAGAGGAAGAGAGATGATAAAGGCCACACTATTTCCTTTTAGACTTCACTTTTCCAGCTTCCACCTTCCCGAAGGCAAAATCAATAGCAGGGATGTATTGCCAGCCTTTAATTAGTTTGCTACTGTTTTCGACTGATGTACCCAAGACTAAAAGGAAGCCCCGGCCAAATTAATTTCTGATAAACAATTCAATCAGGTGTAGAGAGCCAAGTGGCCATTTATATTGGGTACACAATGACCAGATTCACAGTTCCTTCTCAGTGCTCAAAAGTCTACAGTCAGCAAAGCCCAACAGCAAATACTACTACCTCACATTAACACTTCCATCATTTGGGAATTAAACTTCAGATTATTTTGTGAAGCTTAGCCAAGACAAAACTTGTTGTTTAAAACAATCTTTTGCAAGTATCAACAAATGTAATAAAATTCAAACGTGAAAGGAAAAGGGAAATTTTTCACATTTCAGTTCCAACACTGTAAAGGGAAACTATTTCATGCTTAAAATTCAAAGACAGCGTGTCAAGTAATTTCTCTGTTACAGACTTGAATTACCTGCACTGGCCTGAGGGCATTATTCATTCTCTGAGAAAAATTGTACTTTAATATTGCTATGATTTTCCGAAATAATTTTAATGCAAAAGCCTGCATGAATCTGAATCATCAATTTCAAGATTAAAGTGATGACATTCTCTGACTGTAGAGAACCATTTAATTGAGAATTGAGCTTAGGGATGTGCCCAAAATCAAATATGTGAATGAGAAAACAGTATTAATAAAAGGACTAGTATTTTGCTTTCTTTGCTTAACTTCTGGTTTGCTGATACTAAATATTATATTGAATGCTTATGCTATATCAAAAGATCGTGAAATTGCTGGCCACTGTCCCAGACCATTTAATGATTTGTCACATGCGGGAGGAAAGATAATCTTCCCACTAGGCATTAATGGATCCGATTTTGGAAGTACTGAATTATTAATCTCTTTAAGGGGTTATCTGATGCCTGATCATTTGTTAACTTTATATGAAGCTGGGTGCTGAAACCAGAGCACAGTCTGAGGAGACTTAACTGCAGAATAGAGCCTGAAGTGAAGCAAGAACTTCCATCATTGACCAAGGTAGGGCATGAATTTACTGTACAAATAACTGTCTGTACCCTAAGGCTTTTTTAGGTGTGTTGATAGTAAAAGAAGAACTAGGGAGAATGTGAGTCCATTACTGAATGAGGTGAGTGTCCTGGTAACAAGGGATGCTATGACAGTGGAGATACCGAACATCTTCTTTGCTTCAGTTTTTACTATTAAGATTGCTCCTCTGGAATTTCAGACCCTGCAAGTAAGAGAGAAAGGCTTGGGAACTGAAGTCTTCTCTGTGGCTGAAGAGGAGATGGTCAGAAGCACCTAGCCAAAATCAACACACACAAATCCATGCACCCCAATGACGTTCACCCATGCGTGCTGACAGACTGCTGAACCACTATCATCTTTGAAAGGTCTTGGCAAATGGGAGAGGTGCCTGAAAACTGGAGGATAGCCAGTGTCACTTAAGTCTTCAAAAAGGGCAGAAAGGAGGATACAAGAAACTACAGGCCCGTCAGCCTCACCTCTGCCCCTGGAAAACTGATGGAACAACTTGTTCTGGATGCCATCTCCAAGCAAATGGAAGAGAAGGTTACCAGTAGCCAACATGGAGACATCATGATCGACCAACCTGGTAGCCTTCATATGATGTTGTCACTGGTGGGGTAGACAAGTGGAGAGCAGTAGATGTTGTGTGCGTTGACTCTGGCAAGTTGTTTGATGCTGTCTCCTACAGCATCCTTGTAATGAACATTAAGAAAGTGTGAGATAGATAAGCAGACCAGTGAGGTGAACTGACGACTGGCTGGCTGAGAGCCCTCATAGAGTTGTGGTCAATGGTGCAGAGTTGTAGGCAGTGTCTCCCAGGGGCTGGTTTGCCAATGATAAAAAGCTGGGAGGAGTGACTGACATACCAGAAGGCTATGCTGCCATTCAGCAAGACCTGGGCAGACTAGCAAATTAGGCAGAGAGGAACCTGATGAGGTTCAGCAAGATCAAGTGTAGTCTTGCACTTGGGAAAGAACAGCCTTGTGCATCAGTACAGGTTAGGGGCTGATGTGCAGGAGATGAATTCTATGGAGATTGACCTGGGTGTCCTGGTGAACAAAAGGTTGACCATGAATCAATAGTGTGCCCTTGTGGCCAAGAAGGCCAATGGTATCTTGGGGTGTATTAAAAAGAGTGTAGCTAGCAGGTCGAGGGACCTCTACTCTGCCCTGGTGAGACCACATCTGAAATACTGTGCCCAGTTCTGGGCTTCTCATTTCATAAAAGACAGTTATATCCTAGAAAGAGTCCAGCAGAGAGCGACAAAGATGATAAAGGGGCCAGGATCAGGCATCTCCTGTACAAGGAAAGTCTGAGAGAGGTGGGACTCTTCAGTCTGGAGAAGAGAAGACTGAGAGGGGATCTCATAACTGTCTATAAACATCTCAAGCGCAGGAGTCAAATTGGTGGAGAGCAGAACCTGGAACACAGGAAGTTCCACACTAATACAGGGAGGAGTGATTGTCAGAGTGATGGAGCATTGCAGCAGGTTGCCCAAATAGTTTGTGGAATCTCCTTCTATGGAGATACTCGAGACCCATATGGATGGGTCCTGTTTGGGACCTGTGTGATCTTCTGTTGGGAACCTGCTTTAGCAAAAGAGTTGGACTTGATGATCTCTGCAGGTCCCTTCCATACCTACAGGTCTCTGATTCTGTGACAGCGTACATTAAGAACTTTTCAGCAGCATGATTCCAGGCGAAACTCTGGGTGAATTAATTCTCTTATGAGCATATGGCAGATACCAAAAATGATGTCACTATATAATTGATTCTACCAATGAAATAGGGTGAGTACCTTATGCATTTTTTTTGTATAGCTTATTGTAGTTTTGTGTTTATATACAGTATTGTAGTTTTTTTAATATGGTTTATTGTATTTTAATATAGTTTTAAATATGATAAAATGTAGTAGGACTTATTAAAGAAAGTGAAAGAATTCACACTTTTCTTGAACATTTCCTACATAAGCTTTCATGCTATTGGTATCAAGATGGAGCCACATTCATTACAAAATCAACCATAAATGCTGGTCTCTGACTCACTACTTTCAAGCTAACTAGATGTCTTGATAGCAAAATTTCTTAAATTTAACTCATTATTAGAGTTCTCATTATAGTAAAACATTGATTACCTAAGTGCAATGAGCTTTAGGGGCAACTGTCGAGTACAGAGGGAATTTATGTTGTAATTGCTAGAAGCCAGGGGAGTATCACATGGGCAGTTTTACTAACTGAAGTGTGGATAATTCAGGTTCCCAGGTGCATTAGCTATTCTGCACTGAATTCAAAGTCATCCTTGTTCTCTGAGCCAATGAAGGCTAAAACCACCAAGGACAAGAAGCAGCAACTACTTTGATGAATAAAATAATGTGAAAAATTAGCCATAAGAGCAATTAATTAATTGTATCCGCACTGGTTTTGAAAGATTCACTGTTTGGTTTAGAAGGTACAGCATTCTAAAAAAAGGAGAAGGGATTAAAAAAAAATAAAAATTAAAAAATAAGGAATTCTTCCAGAACTAATAACCTGTTTAAATGATAACATTAAAAAAATTAACTAGTGCTTTCCACAAATACGGAAATTCATCCAAAAACTTTAGGCATAATGTGCTGTTGTCCACTGCAGTATAGAAATTTCAAGCTAGAAGAAGTAACTATGACCTAACTGCCTGAACCACGGTCTACTAAAGATTTCAATTCATAAAATCATATACTCTATTCCAGCCACTAAAGAATCTAATTATTAGCATGTCAGAAAGGCAAATCAACTTTGTTACCATAGGATAAAATAGAACAGTACAGTGTTAAAGTTTACAGTTGTGGCAACATATCATAACATTATGCTGTAATTAACTCAGTTTTCTCCTTTGGCAAAATTTCCCCTGTGAAAATTATTTCAAGATTTTGATTCTTCTCCTAAGTTTTACTTACATTAATAAAGATTTACTTTTGTTGTTTTTCCTCTTCTGCTACTGAAATGCAGCCCTGATGACTCTGTCGCTAAGTGGCTGAGTTGGTCTGAAGTTATCTCCTAGGATTCCGTCACAGCCCTCTAGAAGTTCTGCACCCTTAACATGTGTCCTCAGTCTACGAAATTCCTCTATCTGAAAGGCAAAAAAGCAGACATGAAGACAAAGTAATTCTGCATTATGGGACTGATGATCGAAATCAGCATTCCCTGCCACTTGTGCACCACTGAAACTTGGAGTTTTCAGACACCATTTCTAACTTTTAAAAATAGTTGTCAGCACTAACAGAACAGAGAAAAATAAGAACTTTCATATATGTGGTTTGGAAAACATACCCTTTGCATTTTCATAATTTCTTTTGGGATCTTTAACCTTCTCACTCATTGTAGATTACATCCCACAAAATCAATCTCACAATTGTGACATGAAAGTAATGATTCTGGTCTTCTTCTAAGAAGTGTAGGAATAACTCAGTTAACTGGAAATTGTTTTTTTATTCTTCCAGTGATTTATTACCCAAAATAATGAAGCAACCCAAAATGTTGCTTCATTTAAATCAAAATTATTTGACAAAGCAGCAGAATATTGAAAAGGCTTTAAGCTTTAGGGAAAGTCTTGACATTTTATACCAAAAATACTTTTTTACAATAAAAATGAGATATTACTTCAAAAGTTCTGCAGATATTAGTGCTCAATATACTTTTTAAAATATAATCAAAAATCAATACAAAACATTTCATATCTTCCAAAACAATGTATTTTGGGGGTACAGATTCTTTTCAGATTTTTCACTCTAATCTGATGTAGGAAGACTCAGAGCTTCCATCTCCATCTTTTGTACCAGCATCAAGTTCTACGTGCTAAAAGGCAATGAAAACCAATGTATCTATCAACAACATTATACCTTACTGTTCAACAGCATAGTTACAGTTGCTTGGTTGGGTTTTTTTTGGTTGTTTTTGCTTTGGCATATTGCCAAGCTGGATACATCAAACCTACCTGATGGCTGATTTCTTTAGGCTGAGGCTCTATATCTGTACAGTCTCTATTATGCCTCACTGTCTAGCTCAGCTGTAACTTGAAAATGACACAGAACTTGAAAATTTTACACAGAAAGTAAAATGGAGCCTGAAGTTTAATCTTTTTATTATATAAGACATTATGAAGAATGAATTTCTTCATGAAAAACACTCTATGAAGGATTAAAGGGAGAAGGCAAGCGTGATTCCAGAATTAAAGGAAGTTAGGTACTGAACAGCGGGTAATGACATTTTTGTTCTTATATTGCCCACAGAGAATACTTTCTTATGCAACTTGGAAGACAACTGCCTTCATTGTTTTCTTCCACTCTATTGCAGAAGTGACAGAGACTTATTTAGTTGATTTAGAGGCTAGCTTTGCTCTGTTGCTTTTTCCTGAAAAAACTGTGCTTAGATATCAACTGTTCTGCTTCTGGCAGCTGAGATACAAGTCGATAGCTTAGACTGTAAAATGAAAAGAAGAAGGAACTATAAAGTTCTTTCAAAGTGCTTTTAGAGGCAGATCTCAATTTTGGAAGATTTTTTTATTGTTTATTAAAAGCAAACTGAAAACAAACTCACTGCAGGCTACCGAACTGAAAATGTCCTCAGGAGTCAAGTGCAGATAAATCACTGAATGACTTTTGTAAAGGTAGTGTCTGTCACCATCACTAAACTGAATCAACCCTGAAAAGTCTGAAATAATTGTTGTTTCGGATGGTGCATTTTACAGGAATTTGGCTTTTGTTTGATCTTTCAAAAATAAGAGACTTTAAAGACACATGAAGGGAAGAGCAGACGGCAACGCCAGCATTTGTGAGTTATCTACTACAACTGTGAATGCTCTGCCCCAATTCCTATGGTGAAATCTATTTGCTCACAAAGTATCTTCCAATTTCTCCAGTCAGTAAAGTAGGACCGATCTGACCCCAATGTCTGTCTGTTCTTACATCTTCAGAGAAGTCAGGAATTGCAGCCTCACTCTAGATGGATAATTGTTTCTAAGCCCACCACAGTGAGTGGTGACCCCTTCATATTAGGGTTGAGATCCCAGTGACAGAGGCCTTCTTACATACATGGCAGTCTACTTCATTCGCAAGAAGTGGTGCTGTCAGAAAAGAACACTCAGATGTGCTGATGCTACCCTCTTCATCTTCTTATCCCAACCCCCTATATTTCACTGCTATAAAGTACAAGAGAAAATACTTTAGAGACATACAGATGAACTTCCTTGGGTATTCACACACCTTCAACAGAAACAGAAGGCTTTCTCACACCCAGAAGACCATAGTCCTGTTCATACTGAAACTTGGGGCCAAAGTGAAAGGGTAATTCCACAATGTTAACATTCCTACTTCTGCTGAGTAAAAACAAAGTTAGATTACATTTTGTACGTTTTGCAAGAATATTTTTGCCAATCCCCTGTATTCAGATCCTGAATTCTGTTTTACTCTGTTTTACTTACCCTTCTGTTTGAAAATTTCACATTCCTTCAATACATCTTTCCAGAATAAAATAACATTTCACAGACTGTTTTATTTCAAAGGCTGTACAAATTTTGCACTACTCCCACTCCATTTCCGTATACTAGCTACTGTTTCCATCCTGTAAGAGGACTTGACTTCGAATGAAGTAGATGAAAGGACTAAAGACCTAGCCATTCAATACAAAACCAGTTAACTCTGACAATGACAGCAGAACAACAGCTCCTCACTGCATCACTGTGTTAAATCCCTACTCTGCCTGGCTTAGACAATCTAAGGTTCTAGGCTTCGGTGTAACACAAAGCACATAATTCACTATGTCCTATTTAAAAAATATATACAGTGGAGAGAAGCATAAGCAAGTTTTTTTTTTCAATTTTCCACCTGTTTTTTCAGGCCTAATAGGATAGATTTTTCTATTTTCTTTAATTGTATTTCAGTAGTGTATACACATGAGCAAGGAGTCTTATAAAAGTAGTCAACACAGTTAATCCTGTGCTGTATATTGTAATGTAAGACAAATGAAGATGATAAAAAGCACAGAAGGAAGGCAAGAATGCGCAAAAAGAACACTGCAGGATGCAGCTTTTCACACAAGGCTTGATCTCTTTCCAACAGAGTTCAGTAATGAAACTTCTCCAAGAACTGTATTTGCAAAATATTATTCTCCAGTTGTCTGCACACATTTTATTCAAATCTCACAAAACTACTTACCAAAAACTACTCTCTGATGGAAGTGCAGACTCATAGCATAAGAATATCACTTGTACTAAAGAAATAGCAATGAACTCTAGAAATTCATACTCTGATGCGGCAGTCCTGATTTGTTATTTTGCTGTTCATGGCATGAATCTGATCCAATCTCTCTCTGTTCCAGAGCCACCTCTCAGCTGCACACTATGTCGGTGGCAGTGTGAAGTCCTCCAAGCCCCTCCATGACTTGTAAGTTCTTCACCACTGCAAAGTTCTGGACTGAATTTATACCAATCAGTGTACTTTAGCAACACAAATGCATTTATTCCTCAAATAAAGCTGGGTACGGTCCAAAATTCTAATCTTTTCCCTACAAACTATGTATCTATGTGAAGATATCTCTTTAAGAAGTATTCAAGATGTGCTCAATAATTAATGCAAAAAAGCAATAACAAATAATGGGTTTTAATAACAATGGCACAATACTTCTCTTCTGGAGATCTATCCCCTTCACATCATATTCCACCATTTTGTCTTGCAGTAAATGAGCACATACAATTAATTAAAGTTGCATTTTTCTGCTTAATTCTTCTCTCATTCACCCTTCACACAATCTCCTAGCATACACAAATACCTTGAACTGTGCCCTCTTTTGTCCATTGACTAGATTAAAAAGGAATAGAGAAAACAAAATGTGTAACTAGCATGAAATCCAATTTTATACAACAACTTAGTCTTGTGAGTATGGTTTTCACACTTCCAGTGAAGTCCTCTTATTTATCCATATCATTTCCAGGCAATTAGCTGCTGTGTTACAAAACAAACTGCCTTTAAAGTTATTCTGAATCTAATATCACCAACAGAGTTATGTTTCCATCTACTCAGTAGTAAGCAGCCATAAAACTTACCATTTTATAAGCAAAGAAATACCAGATTCAAGACTGATAGGATACGCTTAACTTCTAGCTAACAAAGAAATAAGCTTAATGGGAGCAATCACTTTCACCTGTGATTAGAACTAGAATTCACTTTCTGTGTGAAAATAATCAATGCTAATTCAAAATGATAAGTTGTTAAAACATTGTGCTGGGATGACTAGCAGAATTTTAGATTATTAAAATTGAAATAACATCAACTTATCATCTTTTATATTTTTTTCCTTCCGTTTGCACATTCTCCAGAAGAGGCAGTAAAAATTAATGCACTCAGCTTCAAGGATTCTAAATAGTTTCACTTAGGTTATATCCACATTTCTCAGGTTGGGATTCACAGTATGAAGGAGAATAACTGTCAGGAGCTTTCACTGTTTTTACTGGGCTTATTTGCAGACAGGTTTGCAACTTCTTTCATTTGACTGTTAGATATTATAAAGAATATACTTTAAAATACATACATATAAAATTAAATTTAAATAGGTCATTTCCATTTGACATTTGTCACAAAATAGAACTAAAAAAAAGAGCAAGGTAAGCAATGTATAGTTCAATTTGATACAGCTAGCCTGCACTACGTTAACATTTTTTATTCTCCAGGATGTAGTATCTCCCTGTGCATTTTTGTTCCTTTAACATCAAAAAGCAGTGGTATTTGAAAGCTTACAATTACAAAGAATTGAATTTCTTTTGCCAATTGACTTCTTTTTTTTCTTTCACTTCGACTTAAATACAGAATTATTTTAAATGCAGATGATAAACGATAACAAGGTTTTTCATCTCTGACCTTTGCGTTGCCTTCAGTGACTCAAAAGGTTAACCTTTACTTGAAAAGCCATGTACTGATCTAATGGGATCTTCATGGAGAACAGACATAATGCCCCATATACATATTTGCACACTATAACCTTTAGCTCATAACCATATTCCAAGGTCACTTCAAGCAGAACCGTTACCTGCACTTGGGACACAGTCAAAGGATAGCGAAATAAAATCCAGGTGACACCTTCGCTGCAGGGTGGAATTGTTAGGGAGCCCTCATACACCCAGTAGTCACGCAGTAGAGGATCTGAAATTAAAAGAATTTTAATGACATTAAGGAAGAGGATTGTACCTTTTAATTATGATGGCTTATGACAGCCATGAGCTTTCTCATATGATGAAGTTAGTATGCAGAAATCTAAGGTGTGAATTTATGACCTGCTAAGTACTGTTAACTACTTTCTCAAGTGAACACACATAAACACATACTTACTACATAACAGTAACTTCCTCTTGTAGATTGATTATAGAATCACAGAGTCATAGAATTGCTCAGGTTGGAAAAGAGCATCGAATCCAATTGCAACCTAACCATACTACCCTAACTCTAACAACCCTCGCTGAATCATGTCTCTGCGCACCACATCCACACAGTTTTTAAACACATCCAGGGATGGTGACTCAACCACCTCCCTGGGAAGCCTATTCCAGTGCTTAACAACCCCTTCTGTAAAGTTTTTCCTGATATCCAACCTAAACTTACCCTGGTGCAACTTGAGGCCAGAGGTTATTATTTTAAAGATCAAAATGCCACTTTATAGAAATGGCAAATAACATAAGCCCAATCCCTTAAACTAGCAGAATAAATAAATAATATTCTGGGAAAAACTCTCCATATTTCCTGATTCCACATTCTCTACTGCAGTAATTGTTGTTAGACTTGCCCTCACTTGGGCCTAGTTCCACATTTCAAAAATGAATGGAGGAATGAGAGCTCTTCTTGCCACTCTGGTCAAGTAGAACCTCAAGCTTACTACTCCATGGAGCTTAAAGTTCATAGCTGGATTGAAATTTCTTATCTCCAAGACAGGTAGATAACTTTACTGTGAAAAGACATCCCATTTTGAAAGTAGGAAGGCCATGGTGATCAAGCAGTGACTAAATTCTACATCCAAACAAAACTCTTCCATTCATAATTCAGGTGCCATATTTTTCAAGATGTACTACTGACTCCTAACTCTGGCAAAGTGAGTTCATAGAAAAAGAAAAACCTTAAGAAATCACTCCGTTTCTCATGAAAACATATCACACGGAGCTGTTCTTTGCTGCTCTGTGAGTGTAGGCCACACTCACAAATGACTTCCTAACCCAGCTGAAGAAATAGAATATATTACCTGATCTTAAAAGAGGGTAAAAACAAACAAATCTGGAGAGGAATTGGACGCTCATGACATGGAAGACCTGAGGGAAGGTTGTGACTAACTTGACAAGGACAGGATGGGAGGCTGGAAATTGAAATAAACTTGTTTGGTTGACCTAACCTGTTACTGCCATTTGGTACCAGATAAGAGGAATATCACACAGAACAGCGTGATATTAGATAGATATCAGACAGGATGGTGTGATATCTATCTATCAGTAAAATTAAATCTTACTAGTGAAACCTGCGCTCCTCAGTGAATGGATTTTGTTTTGTTGATCTCATTTTCCTTCTCAGTTACAGGATTTCATAGCAAGAAGTTGCACTGTCAAGCACTCAAAAATTAAGAACTGCAAGAATTAATTCAGCCCACCATGTGCATGCATTGTAGCACTGTCTCATTACACGATCACATACATCATTTACTTGCAAAGATGGATGACTCTATCTTTAAAAGCAACAGCTAACATTTGGCTTTTTAGTAACATATGCAGTCCTAGGTCTATTCAAATCCTGCTTTTTACAAGGACTGTTCTTTTTCATTTTTTGTATTTCTAGTGCACTCATTTCTTCAGTGTCCAAGTGCTTCACATACATTAGTTCATCCTTCCAGAACCTCACTGAGGTGAGGAAGGACAGATTACCCCCAATTTTTAAAGCTGGGGAAGTGAGGCATAGAGAGATTAAGTTGAAATGCATCTATTCATTTGAAGTGTTCAATATGAGATGCTTAGAACCTGATTTCTCAGAGTAGTTAACTTTCTATAGCACTTAATGGAGTCAGAGCACTGCTCCCATTGACTTCAGTTGCAGGTATAAGCACTCAGCACTTCTGTAAATCAGACCCCTTGATCTCAAGACGGGCACCTAGAAAATGAGGAATACAGAGTTAGAGATCACTTATGAAAATTTTGGTTTATGTGACTTAATCAGCATCAAACCAGGAACTGTGAAGCATGGGTTCTGTGAAAATAACTTCTGATAAAGCATGTTTTATAATACATGTTTATGAAAGGGCACAGGTAGCCTTAGTTCCTGCAATTTCTAAATGCTGAGCACTTGACCTTGCAACCTAAATAATACTCCTTTGATAAAAATTAATATAGGTTAATAAATAATGGGGTTCTTTTAAAAAATTGTTTAAATATCTTATTACTGTGGCATGGAATTTAATTCAGAAGCATTCCTTGAAGAAATTTTTACTTCATAGAATTTTTTTTTAAAGGAGTTTTTTTTCAAGGCAAGGTAGAGTGTTTCTTATTGTTATTCTTGGCTATATGAATTTGAATTTGCCTCCCACTTACACTACCCTTTGTATCCTATACAACTGCAATTGCATTATGGCATTGTCACTGCTTCCAAAACACTAACTTGTTAAGTGGGCAACCTTCTACATTTTGAAGTGAAAGCAGGCCTCTGTTTAAATAAATCATCTCCTATTTCAGGTAACAGTAGAGAAAAGATTACACATCACTATCCCTGTAGGTGAGATAATAAATCATCAAGAAATCTAGACACAGTGTTGCCAGCAGTGTACAGGCTGCAATATCACATTCCACTCAAGTGAGAAAGGTGTGAATTTATCCCAAGTTTAACAGGAAATTCTACCCCACTGCTATTAGCACTGTTACGTGGAAAACTGTATTATCATTTGGTGGGAGATATTCTCAACATTGCAGTTAGACTGCTCTTTAGTTCCGGTCTGTTTCAGCCTTTGCAGTTACCTAGTAATCCACCCACAGAAAAATAAGTAAAGGCACCTACCTGGTAATAAAGAGTTGGGATTAAAACAGGGTATAGTTTTGGACTTTCCCTGAAAAAATGAATACAAATGAATCTCATCTCTAGCTATGATGAATGGAAAGGTAAAATACTGTGTGTTTTCTAAAATGAAACCTTCATTTCCTGTGAAATCACTACCATCATTTAATTATCACTGTGTTTGTCCTTGCAACCACACAATAGTTGTGGTTTTCTCTTTTTGATTTTTTTTCTGTATTTTACTTCTAAGATTATCACAGAAATTTGCTAACTTACTGCCTTTAGTAGTTGCGCTCTTCTCCAGGCCCCAGCCTTAAAATACTTTCTTTACATGAAATTCAGGACTTCCATACAAAATGAGTTTAAAAAACAAGGGACAAAATGATCATTTCCTTGACTGACAGAAAACACTTATTAAATATCTTATTAAACTTATCATTCCAATAATTTAATGCAATAAAATTTTATGTGTGCAGTAGCATGTTTGATGCTGACACTCCAAAAGTCACTAGCATAAAATGCTCATAATGACAAAGCTATTCACCATCTTACTCTACTTAGCTTTGCCTTTAATGATCAAGCTACAAAGTTCTGTGGACTAATGTTTCCACAGTTGCCTTAACAATGAGTTTGTAATATTACATATAATTACTGTTTACCATATATTATTTGCCTAAAAGATCTTAAACTCTCTTCTAGTAAGTCTCTCATTTTTCTGTACTTCACCATCCTCTGAAGTGAATGGCTTGTCTCTCCAAGCCAAAATACAACTGCTCATTAATATAGCACAAAATACTTTAAAATCAAAGATAAACATGATTATTTCTGTTTTGTAGACAGAGGGATGGAAATAACTTTCCCAAGGTAATAGTTTTAGCTTTCTGGAAAGTGCTCAAGGCTTCTAAATACAGCTATGCTTTTTATCTGTTCTTCAGTATCCCCACATATAATCCATACAACAAGGCAGCACTGTGGCTTTGTTGATTTCCCACTGCAAGTTAATAAGGGTATTCAATGCATCTATTTTTTTCCTCTACAAATAAAATCCACACAAGTTTGGAAGTGCTGTTATTAGTGTTCACTAAGCATTCTGTAACAATGCTTACATTCATACTGACTCCATACTGATAATCACTGGAAAGGTGATACTTGAAATCAGTTATCAATCAGACAGATCAAATTTTTGGACATCACAAAAAGGCATTTAACTACAAAGACTACATATTAAATGAAAACACTGTAAAATACTGAGCTTCTGATGTAGGCCACTGAACTACAGCTTTCACACATGGTTTTACTATAAAGGAGTTTGAAAACATTCTTTCGGTTTCAGTGTTTCATACACACTTTTCACACACTTACTTCATCTCGTTTGTGAGGGAAGCATCTCTTCAGATGATGTCTTACCTTGTACTGGATGTCCTGGAGAATTTCAGTTACAGCCTTTAGGCCTACATGCTCTTTTCCTATCTGAAATAAAATAAGCAAAGATGAAATTTAGTCTTTTGCTGTTTCTGAACCTATAAGGCAAGACAGAAATCAATCAGTACACTAAGTTCTGAAATTGTTTTGAGTTAAGCTACCCAACCTCGTGTTAATCAAATATACTGATACACAGCAATTCCAAACAATGAAATCTCTATACAGGCATCAGCCAAAATTAAACAGGATTTTAAAAACTTCAACATGAAGACAGAAACTGACAGAACAAAAGCCATAGTTAAATCTGGTAAGTTTTGAGTAAGCCTGTTTTGTAGCATATACTGTAAGTAAATTCAAAATCATGCAGCACTGTGACAGACAAATGCCAAGAATACAATTTGTCCTTACCAGTTTTTAGTCAGAAAAGCACATAGGAAGGAACAGAATGAACAAACATGATGGATACTTTTTGAATTTGCTCCCATGGTGCTGCTAATCTGGCTCTGAGGCGCAAGGGATTGTTTCTTCCCTGCCTCCAGAGTGCAGAATGGCAGATCCTCCCCCTCCATGCACCTCCAGCTTCTGCAGGCAAAAGCCTGGCCCTCTGCAGCACTGTCCTTGAAGACTGAATGTCTTCAAGGTGTGGAAGATGGGGTTTTCAAAATAAACCAGTTTCCACGAATGTTTTTCACTCTGTATGCTGATTTCAGTTGCTTCTGATCTACATCACCATCCAAAGACCCCACCTTTTACATTCAGAACAACACTGGCAAAGCAGAAACATTCAGAACAGCTTTCTGCTCGACTTCTTTGCCAGTGCATACACATAGGAGGTGAGGAATGAAATGGGCATGAGTAAGAACAGAAGAGCTGGATGAAATTTGTTCATTTATAGGGACTTTTTGGAGTAGAATCAAAGAATCATTGAAGCACTGACTCATAGAATAATTTGGGTTGGAAGGAACCTTTAAGATCACCTAGTTCCAAACCCCCTGCTTTGGGCAGGGACACCTTCCTCCAGACCAGGTTACTCAAGGTCCTATCCAGCCTGGCTTTGAATGCTTCCAAGGAGAGGGCATCCACAACCTCACCGATCTGTCCTTACAAATTATCTAATCGTTATTGGAAGGAGATAATTGAACATCAATAAAATGTAACTTCTATTTCTAGAAAATTAAGAGAATTTTCTTTTTTCTCAAAAAAAAAAAAAAAAAAAAAAAGGAATTTCTATTTAAAATCTTCAAATGGATAAAAGATATTAAAATCATTTCGAACATGTCTGGAGCCCCCAGTACAAGAAAGACGGTGAGCTGTTGGAGAGGGTCCAGAGGAGAGCCACAAAGATGATCAGGGGCATGGAGCATCTGCCCTAGGAAGACAGGCTGAGGGAGCTGGGCTTGTTCAGCCTGGAGAAAAGAAGGCTGTGGGGTGACCTCATTGCAGCCTTTCAGTACCTGAAGGGAGCCTACAAACAGGAGGGGAATCAACTCTTTGAAAGGGTTGATAACAGCAGGGCAAGGGGAAATGGTTTTAAGTTGAGGGAGGGAAGATTTAGGTTGGATGTCAGGGGGAAGTTCTTTACAGAGAGAGTGGTGAGGTGCTGGAACAGGCTGCCCCGTCCCTAGAAGTTTTCAAAGCCAGATTGGATGGGGCTTCCTGGCAAATGAAAAAGCACTTTGGAATGATTAAAAACTCAGATTAAATGGGAGTCCAGAAATAGAAAATGTATCACTTAAGTTTTATGTTTGTTTAAGAACTTACCTATAACTTTCTAACCATCTCCAAGGTTACCTCTGCTGGAATTAGAAGGTGACTTACATAAGCAATTACGACACAGCCCTCCAGGATACAGAACTGAGAGAATAAAAACTTTCTAACTTCCATTTTTAGCAGCTCTATCTCAGTGTTGGAGACATAACCAATGTACCTTTACATTCCAACAGAGGTAAAGCTCAAAGGCATTCACAAACTTGTAATGAAAAATGACAAATTAATATCACTGTGAAAGAAAAACCATTTGATCTAAGCATGAATTCTAAACTTCTTCCTACCAACCCATTTAAATAAAAAAGTTTGCCACTTCTCATGAGAATGATGAGAAACTGATAGTCGTCTTTATAGGGTGAAGCCCTTGAAAAATTTTCAACAGCAATTAGATTATGGGCCTAACTTCCCAGCTTGCACATCTTCTCCCCAGTAAGCCTCAAGTCTCTGCGTCTCTGGCTCTTCTGAGAGTCTCCAGAAGATTCATTACAACACCAGTCTGATGTCTCTGAATAATGTGATCTTATCTCACATTTCTCCCATGTGAAGTAATATGCTTGCACCTGTATTTAAAAAGACACCATTCTACTACTGGCTTTTGGGTCAATGGGTCATTAGGTTTTCTTTTCCTCTTTCCTCCTCTCTTCTGTGTATTTCCCCAATTCCTGCACAGCAGGCTTGGGCTGGAATAGAGAAGAACACATCAGAGACATATCGAAGCACCTCCACCTCCTGACAGGTCCCCTCACAGGCACAGTGAACAGATGCCTAATTACAGTAAGATGGCTTGATTACGTATCAACTCTTCTTTAACTAATGTACATTAAATACACCATTTAACCAAGATTTACTCATTTAGCATATGCACAGACAAAAGGACAGAGAACTATCTTTTGAGTAGAATCCCACCAGTTATACAATATTTTATTTTAAGAAATTATTAAAAATGAAAGAAAATGTGAAGGAACCCATTTTCCTCACACAAATGACATCGCTAACACATGCAGCACAGGAAACTTACCTGTACAAATAAAGCAATGATAGCTATGCCGTGCTTCTTCCCTACCGCTTCATCAATGCTGCTGTATAGTGTGGAGTTCCAGTGCATTAGATGAAGCTGAAACAAAGAAGTATAAATAGATCAGTACAGAAAAGTTTTGCATTTAAAAAAAAAAAAAAAAAAAAAAAAAAAACCACCAGAAATTAATTTCAATTAACAAGGCCTCCACATGCTTGAGCATATACATGCATGTACATGCCTGTGTCTATGCATGTATACATAAATGCATTTCTATTAAAAACACCAGATATTCCAAGGGAGAAAAAAAAAAAGCTGCAGAAGAAATTATTTATGGTCAGTTACCAAATGTCAATAACAAAGGTGTAGATTACAGTAACTCTCTTACTTTGAATACTGAAATAAACAATGTAGCTAATCCAGACTGCCAGCGCTGCCTCTCAGTCTGCCAGGTATGACCATGATTATGGACATAAGCTGTCCAGATATGTACTTGACTGGCTGAATGCCTATCTCAATGATACTTGTCTCAAACATCATCTTATAAGACGAGTCATTCAAATTTCAGTAGTAAAAGTAGTGAAGTGGTATCAGGAGAGGTTAAACAGAGAAGAAGTTAAGCAGAGAAAATGGCTCGAGAAGCACCTTCAGGACAGGAGAGAAAGAGATGCTAAAGAGGAAAATGAGGGCCCTCAACTGCCTTCTTTGACTTATAGGATTGAATGGAGACAGGTCAGGCAGGAGACACCGGATGGCAAACATGAAGTCTGTTCTAGTGAGGTGTCAGAGCTGTCTGGCATGATTTGGGAAGTGACGTTTGAGAAAAGTGCTATGAAACTGACAAACAGACAGGAAGGAAGGCCAGAAGGGTGTAAGCAAGGATGGAAGGAAGGGAAAGAAGGGGAGGCTGGGAGAGAGAGACACTACCATCTGCTGTGAGCTAACATGCACTGCAAGCACAAGTTTTTCCAGTACTGATGCTAAAAAGTATTCTCTGCATCTGGATTTGGTAACATTGCAGAGTTTAGGCATCCTAAGCACAGTTGCTTTTAAGTTTATTTGCCAATGACGTCTGCACACTCCAAACAGCTTTAAAAAGTGTGCATTCTTAAATTTAACTCCATTTAACATCCATTCTGTAGTAAAATCAAGTGATCAGTACTTAGATTGGACATGTGTAAGAAGTGTAATTCTCTTACTTAACATAATTTCCACATTCAGGCACAGCAGTTTTTAAAACAGACAGCGTATCTTTCTATTTGGTGTTTCAGTTTTGCCCAGTAACTGCTTCTGACAGAGCAGGAATTAACTGAGGGACTGCAGGTTTCAGTTCCTCTCCCCAAGAGGGAAAGAATATTGAAAGACCACAGTGAGGTCATCCCACAGCCTTTTTTTCTCCAGGCTGAACAAGCGCAGTTCCCTCAACCTGTCTTCCTAGGGCAGGTGCTCCATCCCCCTGATCATCTTCATGGCTCTCCTCTGGACCCTCTCCAACAGCTCCCTGTCTTTCTTGTACTGGCAGTATTCCAGATGGGGCCTCACAAGAGCAGAGCAGAGGGGGACAATCACCTCCCTGTCCCTGCTGGCCACCCCTCTTTTGATGGAGCCCAGGATACCATTTGCTTTCCGAGCTGCAAGAGCACATTGCTGGCTCATGTTAAGTTTTTCATCCATCAGGACCACCAGGTCCTTCTCCACAGGGCTGCTCTCAAGGACCGCTCCTTCCAGTCTGTACGGATGCCTGGGATTCCTCCAGCCAAGTGCAAAACCTTGCACTTTGCTGTGCTGAATTTCATTAGGTTCACCCAAGCCCACCATTCAAGTCTGTCGAGGTCCCTCTGAATGGCATCCCTTCCTTCCACCGTGTCAACCACACCACTCAGCTTGGTGTCATCAGCAAACTTGCTGAGGGTGCACTCGATTCCATCATCGATGTTACTGATAAAGATTTTAAAGAGCACCGGTCTCAAGACAGATCCCTGCTCATTACTGGCCTCCACCTGGACACAGAGCCATTGATGACCACCCTCTGTCTGTGGCCTTTCAACCAATTTCTTATCCATCGAGTGGCCCACCCATCAAATCCACATCCCTCCAATTTGGAGATAAGGATGTGGTGGGGGACCATATCAAAGGCCTTGCTCAAGTCCAGGTAAATGACATCGGTCTCCTTCTCCTTGTCCACCAATGCTGTCACTCCATCATAGAATGCCACCAGATTGGTCAAGCGTGTCCTTCCCCTGGTGAAGCCATGCTGGCTGTCTTGGATCACACGCTCATTCCTCATGTGATCAGACATGTCATCCAGGATGATCTGTTCCATGATCTTCCCAGGCAAAGAGGTAAGACTCACCAGCCTGTAGTTCCCCGGGTCCTTTTTGCTCCCTTTCTTGTAAATGGGAGTGACGTGACCCTTCCTCCAGTCATCTGGGACCTCACCTGACAGCCACGACTTTTCAAATATGATGGAGAGCGGCTCAGCAACCACCTTGGCCATCTCTTTCAGAACCCTGGGATGCACGCCATCTGGCCCCATAGACTTGTATACATTCAGTCTCAAGAGGCGGTCTCAGACCTGCTCTGCCCTTACAGTGGGGGGGATTTACTGCCCCGGTCCACACCTAGAGGGACCGGGATGCAGGGCTCAGGGACGTGAGAAATATTAGAATCCTGGCCGCCAGTGAAGACCAAGGCAAAGAACTCATTCAGTACCTCAGCCTTCTCTTCGTCCGTTGAAGCAAGTTCTCCTTTACATTTACCAAAGGAGGCATACTTGCTTTGGCCTGTCTCTTCTGGCCAATGTACCTGTAAAATGTCTTCCTATTGTTTTTCATGTCCCTCGCCAAATTCAGTTCTGCCTGTGCCTTGGCTCTTCTGACCCCACGTCTGCAAGTCCAGACAGCATCCCTGTATTCTTCCCAGGTGACATGCCCTTGTTTCCAGAGCTTTTATGCACCTTTCTTTGCCCTCAGCTTGCCCAGCAGGCTCTTGCCAAGCCATGCCAGTTTCCTACCTCTTCTGCCCGCTTTCTTATTCAAAAGGATGGAGAGTTCTTGTGCTCTCAAGAAGGCATCCTTGAAGAGAAGCCAGCTCTCCTTAACATCTTTGTTTTTAAAGACAGCATCCCAGGGGATCTTGGCCAACAGTCCATTGAACAGCTTAAAGTTTGCTCTTCCGAAGTTCAGGGTCCTGATGCCACTCTTTGCCAGGCCCACATCCCTCGAGGTCACGAACTCAACCAGGGCATTGTCACTGCAGCCCAGGCTGCCACCAACCTTAACGTCTTTAATGATCTCCTCCGCATTGGTGAGCAGCAGGACCAGCAACGCTTCACCTCTGGTTGGTCTGTTCAATACTTGCACCAGAAAGTTATCATCAATGGATTCCAGGAGCCTCCTGGACTTACTGCAGCTCACCGTGTGATCTTTCCAACAGATATCCAGATGGCTGAAGTCCCCCATCAGGACGAGAGCCTGTGAGCACGATGCTTCCCGTGTCTGAAGCAAGAAAACCTCATCAACAGTCTCCCCTTGATCAGGTGGCCTGTAGTATGTGCCTATTACCAGCTGGCCTTTGTTAGTCCGGTCCCTAATTTTAATCCACAGGCTTTCAACCTATTGCTGACTGTTTCTCAGGTCTATCCACTCTTTGACATAGAGGGCAACTCCCCCACCCTTCCTACCTCACCTCTCCCTTCTAAAGAGGCGATACTCCTCAATGGTGGTATTCCAGTTATGGGAGTCATTCCACCATGTTTCTGTGATAGCAACAAGGTCATAACTTTCCAAGCACACCATGGTTTCCAACTCATCCTGCTTATTTCCTAGGCTGTGTTCATTGGTATAAAGACACTTCAGCTGGGCTTTCTCTCTCACCACCTTTATAGAGGATCTAGGATCCAGCGGAACAGCAGCATCCCCAGCATCCCCCTGCCCCAGTCCCTAGTCCAAATGAATCTATCATAAATCAAATTGAATTTCAAACTATCATTGCAAATAATTCTATTTATGTCAATTAAAGGCACTTGTTGTACTAAGAAAGGAAATTTAAAAAAAAAAATCGCACATGAAAACACTAATACAAATGTTCTTGACTACAGAATTTCTAGACACCTAAATACTCCTTGTTAGAACTAATTTATTTTGAATGTACTTGGTGTCATATTTTATTGTACATTACAAGCTTTTCTATAAATTTAATTTGCCTTTGGCTTTTAAAGGAATAAAAACAAAGGACCAAACAATAACAACCCAATCGCTCATTTCACCCAACACAGAACAGCTGCTACTCAAGAAGATAAAGCACTGCATTTTCCGGAGAGAGCCTGGAGTGTGCAGGAGCCATCCGCCAGAGGGGGCTCATGCAGTCCCATCACCCCAACCAAGCCCTGACATTCAGGAGGGAATGTGAGCCAGCTGCGGGCAGGCGGAGCGCACACAGGAACGAAAAAGGTTGCAGTGACTGCAATCCTGATGGCAACGTCCTTGGTGCTGTGGAGAACAATGCTACATGGCAACGCTATTCATTTTGTTTGAAATGTCAAAGCAAGCTTTTCCTTTGCTGACTGGAACAATAGAGCTGAGAGCGATAGCCAAATTTAAAAAGAGCATTACTTCGACTGTGTCAACAGGCAGGTCCTGGCTAGGGCTGCCATGACATTCAGCAGCTTGCTGCGCTCCTTTGGAGGTGAAGTCTGTAATCTGATGTTTCTCCATGTTCTGACAATTGTTTGTTTCTGAAGATTTGAAAGGCAAACAGCCTCGGAGAGAAGAAAACGAACAAGCACTTCATGCTGTACCAGCAATAACCCCAGTGCATCCAGAAACAGGTTGTCGGCCTGTCTCAGACATCAGGCTTTTCAGGGCAGAGACCAGTTTCTATACTAATGATATATACTGCCTAGGTATATAGGTGTGTATATACATATATGTGCGTATATATATACACCCCTTCCCACATCTCTTTGGGGACATGAGGAAAGTTAAGTATGAGCTACCCATTATAAGGGTATCTTTACGCCTTGCCATTTACTTGGGGAAAGAAGATTCTCTGCAGACCCTCAGAGCCTCTTTCCTCCCCACCAACTCAATGGAAGTCAA